AGTGTCTATTTATAACTCTATTTTGCTCATAAATCATTACATTTACATTTTCCTCGTGACGTTGATAGAGAGTCGTAAAACATCAGTTGCATTTCCAGGGTTGGACAAAATTTTTCAAAAGGTTTCATTGTTTTCTTTTATTCCAGATTAAAAGACACATTACATAATAGTCCCTGATTTAACACACGCATAATTGTGTCGACTGCTTTATCTTTTTTCTATCACAAACTCAAATATTCATTAAACTGGATCCAGAAAACAATAGCAAGTAGTGGGTATAAGACATATTAGCAGCATGTATTACGCAAAAATGTCCATAAAATCACTTCAGACTAAGATGCCTGCTGTTTTATTACACTTAGCAGCTATTGTGTTTTACGCGTAGTTTACAAACATTTGTTATATGAAATAATGAAATTATTATGATATAGTTTGTTTGCAGTACACGTATTTATATATTCATCTAAAATATGGTTTCGCTCATATAAGAGTATAAAACATTGCATTTCATCGGTTGTTTCTCTCGAACAATCAAATATTGTTATCGCAGATCTACGGGGTGAGCCATAAGCAGTGATACGTTATTCCTTGAAAATTATCTGAACTATGAATGTCTTCTTTGCTGGTTGCTTATCACCAAGTTGGAGATAGTTAACGTGTTGCAGCCATGCGAAGCTGTTCAAAACGAGGCCTTGATCACCGAGCATCGTCTACCTGCGTAGATTGAAGTGGAGTTCACTATATTTATGTGAGGCATAGCCGAGTCACGGAGGTCATTTGGATACAGGATATATACGACGATTGTTTGGATCATTGGTTCCACTCGTGGCAAATTGTGTTTACCAACCAAGGGCGAACGTAATACCCGGAACGTTCGCAAATTGGCGTTGGTTTTTTTACCGCATCCGATTTGAATTAGCCAATTAAACCAGTATGAAGGAACACTATGCAGGATTTGGTTTTTGTGGCGGACACCTGGACAACCGACTCCATATTTAGAGCTCTTAGAAAAATCAGCTCATGGACGAGTCCATACTTTTTGTGGTCACTACTGTATGGTAACCACAAATCTATATGTTATAACCCAACATTAACACTACAATCTGGTCACTCTTTATCAAATAAATTTTGGGGCGAACTTACTATAATGTATGGGCCACCTCGTATGTAGAATTATGTTTTAAAGTATTTCTAACCTCAATATCCACGTTAATGGAACGTTTTGGAGCCATCGGGCAGAGTAGATTCTATATAACCATGGAGTCTGGCTCATTTATTAGTCATTAGCTAATGCATCCACTAGATATTACTCATTGTAGTGATATCCTTATTTTTAAAATGAAGTGCTAGTGGGTAATAGTTTTAGTTCGAACATGACTGTATTCACGCCTTTGTGAACAAAGTCATCATTTCACCCGGGGCATATTCGCGAACAAACTCCTGGTGATATGAGTAATGTGTGACGTCATAACAGCAGGCAGGCAGAAAACGTTTGTGCCTAGCCCTGCGGGGTGTATTCGACGATATTACCCCTGCTATTCGGTCTATATTCCGTAAATAAAAGCCAAATGTAAACGTAAATCACAATCCCTTCTTAACTGGACAATTAAACAGGCTTTCTTTATGTACTTCACCACCATAGGAAGCCGTAATTTTGAGTTAAATATTTTGATAACTATATAGACATGTTTAACTCTAGTTCTGCTTGTAATTTCGGTTAACTGTTAGGTTAGATTACAGATTCTCGTATATAAGATGGATGCTTTGGAAATTATTTTCTTTTGCAGAAATGTATGCACATATGCTTCTAAAGAGAGGAGATTTTACTATGGATAAATGAATGTTTAGAACCATAAGCAATGTACTTCCTATGGTACATTTGAATGAATTAATACATAGTTACATATTAAACTTGAATCAACTGGCACAAGAGAACATAAATGGCTCATAAGAAGTCATTAAATTCTATTGATTCTAAGAATGTCTTGATAAGCTACTGTAAATGCAATTCGGCATTATGTATTTTCTGTAATTTCTATGTATGTGTACATAATGTATATGTTATGTGTACTAACTTTTACGAGTATTTCATATAGATAGTATTCCTTTGTGGCAATGAATGTATTGCATTTCTATCAAGTTCCTTGGTTATGTCTGAGCCCTCCTATTCGTACTATAGTAGTATGTTATGTATGTTTTGTTTTCCCCACTTAACTACTTTTACCCTCAACAGTTTCCCATTTTTATCTCAGAATAGTAAATCATTGCAAAGTTGAGTCATCAAATGCATGGTGTCAAAATGTACTGATGAATATGACACTCGCATGCTAAATCGCTAATATTTTCCATTTTCATTAGGACTCTTTTTTTACTTCCACTTATGATTAATAATGAGTTTATCGTTTGAAAATCCGCTAGTGCCTTTGATAGTTCGTAAATTTAAGGCAATTCTACTGCTTTTCAAATCGGACTCCCACCATCAATCAAAGCCTGTATGATACAAGACCTTCGTGCTTAAAACGGTCAACAATTTGTTGAGATGTTTGCTGAACTCTCTTGATAAATGATGTAATTTTTGTAACGGAAGTATTTACTATATTATATTAATTAAAGCTAAATTCGATTGAGGTAGAATTGACCAAAATGGTATGGAGAATACGCTATCATCCTTGTAGCTATCACATCCGAAGAATGTTGTTATAAGTATTCATGATATATGTATTCTAGATGCTCATTGGCTTATTCATGGTCACATGATATGAAATAGATGAACTAATATTGATTGGAAAGTCCTAAATCCCTGCTAACAGGGAAGATGAAGTGTACTTATCACTGGTTAGGTCATGTGACTAGTCATTAGTACATTTTATCTTCCCTGAATATGGGGTATATAATAAAACAAATAGTGACTGTCATATTTTCGGGGAAAAATAGTGTTAATGTTTCCCCTCGGGAATATCCTGTCCACTGACATGTTCCCTCAACCTGCAGCCTCGGGAACATGTCAGTTGACAGGATATTACCTCGGGAAAAATATCTTGCACTATTTCCCTCTTCATGGCAGTCACTATTCGTATAATTTCAATTAAACCTTAACAGAGTAAGGGAATGGGGTTGTGGCATACATCTAAAAATAGGAACAAGATTGCGTATTATTTGTACAGGTAGACATTTTTGTGTAAAACTTCTTGAACAGCCCTCGTAGCTACAAATCTGAACTTAATCATATTCTAGGTAACGTTGTGTTGCTGAATAGTTTTCCTTGATCACAGTTATTTCTCAACGTGAAAAATCAATTCTTTACACAATGTGTCCAATTAAAGGCAAGTTATGCTAGAGGCATACATTAACCGTTTAGAAAATACTAATAACTAGTATTGAATAATCATCGAGTGCTTCTCACTTTCAAAACCCTATTTATTTCAGCAATGTGGATAGGATGTAATCGAACCTTGTTTCCCGTGCTGTATATACCAGAACCTCATTGATCGATCTACCACTATTCTGATACTATTATATATATGCTGCCTCTGGTATTCCAACATATAAATGAACACCCCCCGTCAAATATTTGGTAATCCTTGCTCTCAATTGGATAGCATGTAAAACCTTTTTAATTGTTTTATTTCAGCTTCCCCTCGATCTATACACCTACCTCATTTGGAAACTTTTGACAATTGAAAACTTTTGATTTGACATTGATGAATATTTGAAAATCTTTAAACATGAAGGCATACACAAGGTCCAATAAATTATGTTATGTTGATAAACATTTGTTGGTGTAGTGTAGACAAACGAGTGCAATGTTTTCAATCGCCTGGGTGACGTTTTCCAATTATCGTCAACTAGCTAAAGTAAATGTTATTTTTGTAGAGGAAAAATAAACCCGGGGTTGTGAACCATATCTAACCGAGTTCGTTTCGGCGGTCATGCTATTTTTGGATTTTAGATCTAATCTTAGTTTTGATTAAAACAAAAAGAACCTTGACTATTACCGAATAAATCGGTGGCTATCTCCAGATTGTTACTAGCAACGAGGGCTGATAAGTGAGAAATCAACGCTTTTTATATAGAAATACACAAAATACTTGACAAATTACCGTAACAATAAGTTGATATAGAATGTTGAGGAATTTAATTTAAACTCAGGATCGATTGACAAATGGGTGATGCTTCCATTGAACATACAATGTTGGAAAATCAAAGAAATACCAGGTTTAGATATGAGCGTCTGCGTTACAAAACGTCCATTACTTATTGATCATCTCTCGTAAAGCTTGGCGGTCAAGTAAATGAAGAGAATAAATGTATAAAGACACATCGTTTGTTTAGAAGAGATTGATGTTTTATTTCTGGATGAGTCTGAAGAGTTTTCAGGTAAAAAGGACAAAAATTGGACAAGCTCGAATGTAGACAGCCTACTGTCAAGTTCATTCTATTTTTGATCTAGCTGTGAGCGAATGATAACAATACTGTGATCAATTAGATCGTGACATTAATGACGCGCACGGGATCTTCTCATAATAAGATCTCTCCTAATATGGCCCAAGGGTAATTTATTTGAATTATCAAAAAATACTGCACGTTGTTGTTTTAGGGAAATAATAGATTTGTCGGTCATCAACTTCTCCCACATCTGAACCGAATTCTTATTTTAGACTTATTTTGCTATCTAAAATGCTTGAAAATATCAAAAACGATAATCTCTTTTAATTAATTTCGAGTTTATTTCGTCATAACTGTGTACCTTCTATATTGTTTAGCGTTTTTAAACATCAAACTCAGGTTTAAATTTATTTAAAAGTTGTCCAATTTTATTTGTAACGTTGATTTGAAAACAACTATTGAGAATCCAAAACAATACAAATACTAAAATAAACATCAAATAGCAATTAGATCATTTATTAGTATGATGTCTTCTCTTCAAAATATACATGTTTTATGGGATCATGCTTCAATAAACATTACGTATATTTATATTTGTATACAGGGCTTTGATCTTTGACGTTAAAAGTATTCTAGTAGAATGTAACATTTTTTCAATGAAAACTTCCGAAATGATCGCCCTTTTTATTGTCATACGTTGGTGTTGAGAGTTAACATTTCAGCTCGGTTCTATCACAGTAAGTATGAAATCACTCCACATATTTCAAATATTTACTTGATATGGTATCGTCGACTCCCCACGCCCCACTCGTGGGCTCAATTCATGAACTCAATTTGATACAGATTACAATTTAATAAATTCAAGATTTTTCTTTTGAATTCCCACCAATTCAAAGAATTATCAGGAATTTCCAATATTGTAACGAGATCCACTTTCGCTACCGGCTTTTTGAATTATCAGGATCGGTTGACCTTCTGTTTTGGCCATTTCGTGAATCTATAATTCCTTCATTTGCAGTTCACACTCATGTCAAGTTACTTGTTTTACTTAACGGGTCACTTAAGTTACCATGGTTACCTGATGTGTGAACACGGTTTTCTGATGAGATGTCGGAACGCTTTCCTGAACTCCGTGTTAAATATGGTATAAATCATAGGATTAAGAAAGCTGTTAATATAACCAAGCCAGGTGAAAAAGCTAAAGAGGTGCAAGTCTATTTGACATTCCGGTTTCTCGTGTAGTTCGTAGCGAATGCACACGGCATTGACGTTATTGTACGTGAAGAACGGCACCCAGCACAGCAGAAACACACCTGCAAGAAACAAATACAACAAACCTGTAATTATCCCTGAGACGTCAAGTAGTCATTTCATAAGAGTGAACAGGGAGGTTAAGATACACGTTTTTTAAAATTTGTACGTGAACGTGTATAATCATGGTCCTCTGTGAATTAGTTCTCCCATTTGTACTATTCACCTGGCCAATCGAGTATAAAGGCATACGGGGCATACTTGTAAATAGGTCCATTGAAAAAATGAATTGAGAGCGTGGCAGTAATCCCTACAGTAGAGTCGAAATATGACACGCTCACGTACAAGTTCTCTTTAAAACGTGTAACTAGCCTCCTTGATAACTTGTAGGTAAACGTGTTAAATTCTCTTCCCTGGGGTTATATTGTCCCTCTCTCATTACTTTCCCCAAGGACCAGATGACAACCATTTTCCTCATACCTTTATACGCAATCGTGCAAATAAATACTGGGAAGAGCAGGGCTGAACACGACCAGTGCAAGCTCTCTTTACATGTAGCAGATCCTCCGTATTGTACAACATGCATTTCTTTTCAAATAAAAACCCGTGTGTTAGATGGGACTGATGCATAACATAGGAATGATACATATAAGAACCTAATAAAATCCTTACCCAATGAACCTATTAATCATTACCCAATGCAATGAACCTATTTCAAAATTCCTTTGAGATAACATAAGGTATTGTATGAACTTTTCATTTCTGAATTATGTAAATGTAATGAGGGTTCTATGATAATATAATCAGTTTAAATAGGAATCGATTCTCAAGGTAAGGTAAGGCTGTGCATATTCTTTTGTTGCACATATAATAATGGTTATGTAATCGATTGTGTAAGATTATGTAATATTATATAATACTAATAAAGATTATTACCTTCTTTATAATTTGTCAACAAACATGAGTTTTTATATATTTTGCCTATTTTATAGACAACCTTGGATTTATACCTCAAATACAATACGATTTAATTAATTTACATTTTCTAAAGTTTTTTTGGAATGCAAAGAAACATATTGACTCATTAATCAGATGTCATCACAATATGCTTACCACTCCATGCCAGATGATACCTTAAATAATGATTCGATCAGTAGTCCCTAGTTTGCATTATTAGAGAAGTTAAGGTACTCTCAATTGGTTTAAACGAACTTATTACTGCTAATTTCATCACACCTTCATACTCAACCGGAGACCATGTTTAACACGTACAGTCGCACACTATCCTCAAAACAGTGCTCACTTAGCCCCCCACTATATAAAGTAATGATAAAATATAGTTACTGTCATAACCAATTAAATCCGATGGTGGTTTGGTATTGTATGACATCTATCCCAAATATATTTATTTACCACAGAGTGTAAATGTGTGTGTATATATATATAATGTAGATTAGGAAGACATCTTTTTTCACAAATCAAGATTAAGAGATGAAGCCTATACTTTTCTAAAAATACTTGCTTTGAACAAATAGATGTCAGTGTTTAGAGCATAAGAAACTAAATTGGGAAACAATGGCATTCAGTTAATGTATATATGATTAGAAAATGAATAAAGCAATTTAATTGAACAGACCATACAACTGGTGGGTAAAGAGTTATATACATGTAAGTACTTACTAACGTACAAATAAGTGATAAATACCTAAGACAATGGCCAGTGTTTTTGTTGCTTTTCTCTCCTTTCTTTGAGCGGCCTTTTCCTTTCTGTATTTTGCTTTCTCGTTATTCCGTTTCTTCTTTGGAAGCTTAGGAAAGAAAGACAGTCGCGATAATGACGTAGTTCGGTTAATAGTATTTTCTGGTGCCTTTAAATGTCCATTCGTCAAAATTCCATTGCTTTTGGGAATTGATAGACCTGTTGAGCTAAGTTCATTTAATCCTAACCGAGGATCAATGGGTGATAAATCGTAAGATTTGTTATCAAATGATTGGATTTTACTAGTTCCAAAGTGCACCCCTTTATTACGGCGAACCCACACGGGGCTATTACCGTCACCACAACTACACAAGTTCACTTCTGATACAGCGTTCCTTAGCGAAGCCTCGTTGCCTAGACTTGGAAATTCTAAGAAGTTTTTAGCTTCTGAAAGCTGCCATTTTGGAGTTATCTTTGGGCTTGGTTCATTACTACCACTACTTGTGGATATATTGTTGTTTATTCCACCACGCCTGTCCGTGGATGGCGATGGACACGGAGAAGGGTTCGCCATCGACAGCAGTGAATGATGACTCGCCCCAAGTCCATTCTTCTCCGAACCATCTACCTTTACTTCAGGGGGACTGTTCTTTACCTCACCCCTTATTTTTCTAGCTATTCGTTGACTTCGAAGTCTAATCACTCTGAATATCCGTGCGTAAAGAATCACCATTATTATAGCTGGGATATAAAATGAGCCCAAGGAAGAATAAATAATGAAATCAGAATTGTAAAATGAGCAGCTATCGTCCCGTCTGTCTTTGCTATAGTTCATACCGAACGCTATAGGGGACGCTATACATATTGATATAATCCAAACCAACAGCAAAGTTATCCATACTCGTTTTGCTGTTTGATGTTGTACGTACTTTATAGGTTGTGTTACCGCGATGAATCTGGAAGAAAAGATGAATTTAGTGAATGGCACTGATGGTTTACATCGTAATATCCATTTTATTGATATCAAAATATCACATTTCACAAACAACATATATTATGATTCAACCCGAAATGTGTAGCTTAGCTATAGAGGGCGCTGAGTAAATTAGCAAATTCACTTTTGGATACCCACAAAGTTTTAAATTGTTGGTTACCATTTTTCTTCTATTTTTTTAACTAGTAAATGAATGGAAAGACGCCGTGTAATGAAGATGAATGGTTTATCTCTCGAGTTGATCACCAATTCTAAAATTGAATTCATCTAAATAGTTTATTTGAAGCCAATTGTGTTTTCTCCGATAAGAGTCTGGACGGCTTTTTAAGGGGATCAAACAAAATAGTGAGTTTTTTGATAAAAACAAGGATGTAACAAAACATCACTCAAAGACTATCTTATAATGGTGTCTCATTAATTCAAATACGTTTTACGTTTGATTATATTTGTTGCATAATGTTTTCTTTAGTGCCAGGCAAGCCAACATTAATACCGATGGAACATTCATCGCATCTATTTCAGGTTACAAAAACCTTTGAAGATATATGCAAACACTGAAGCTGTCCCCGACGGCAAAACTGTTAGATGAAATGAAAGTTGAAAAGATTAAACTTGTATTAATTGTAGACGGCATTCAACAAGACTCCGAAGTTATTTTGTTTAAGTCGTGAATTGCTATCAATTCCACAAGACAGATAGGGATCAAGTGCATATCAATGTACAATTATGTTCAAGAGGCTGCGGAAGAAGCTGCGGGCAAGCAGCGGCAGTTATTTTCGGGGCCGGATGCTCTGTGTGTAGCCCGGGTTTGAGTTCAAGTAGTAACTAGAAAAAAGTAATTCCACGGAGTAGCAAATTCCACTGAACAAAACACGTTTTGATGAATAGCTGAACGGACCTCCCATGTCCCTTGGCACCATCGTATAAATTGGTATTTGAGTTATTCAAGATTATGTTTTTACGAAAAATGGCAGCCATTTTGCAATACAGCTACCATCTTGAAAGCAGAGCTCCTGTGTTTCTCAGCATCAGCAAATAAAATTTGAGCCAAATCCAAAACTAGTATTTGAGTTATCAATGATTACATTTTTATGAAAATATTGGATTGAGCGGCCAAATGGATAATTCCTTCTCGAGCAGAGGCCTTGATCCACAAGGCATAAGCCTATACATTTTGAATCAAATCATTCGGACTAACGAACGGACGGATGGACGAAGGCACTGGCGGACGGCTTCCCTATATCCTTTCGAACTTCGTTCGATGGGATAATAAGGCCTCTACTAGGGGCAACAATTCTTCTTAACAGCATTCTATTTAAACTCGAGGTTGTTACAATTGAAACCTTCATGGTAATCGATCAAGATGAAGAAACAATTGGTCAGCAATGGGGAAACAATACGCATTGTTCGACAACAGGTCCCCTTGAATTTATTTACATGTTTTGTTCTAGCGGCCGTTTGTTGTAGATAAATTCGAATTCAATGCTTATGTTATCCGCCTCGTGTTTACAGATATATGAGGTTTTTAAAAACCCTAATTATAAGCTCTTTAAATCTCTCCCCGAGTTCTCTGGAATACACCTGGCTACAAAGCACGGGTCCTTCTTCATTCATTTTCATCATCTCAGATCAGTCAATAATAATAATTCATTTTAATAACAAGAGACAATGGGCTAGTCCGTATCGGTTAAAGTTATCTTTGAATACCGATTTGAACAGAGCAAAATACAATTGTGTAAGTTATCATGTTCTAGTTTTCTCTCAAAACCACAGGAAGAAGTAAATAAATGAAGAATGATAGACATGGGATTCTATATAACTACCGTTACGCTGGTATTTGCTGCAATCATGATGTGAGTTAACAAACGCGATAGTTCTGTGACTTAATTACTAGGAAGGCTAAGCTACACGTTTTTAAAATGACGTGTACGTTAATTTATAGTTTTATGGCTCTAATTAGAGATTGGTGTACATGTCCTCCCTATTTTTTGAGTGACCTAATTCCAACTATTTACCTTTATACTTAATTGGGTAAGAAAGGAGGAGAGGAGAGAACTAATTCCCAGGAGACCATAACTCTATCCGTTCACATACACGTTCTTCTAAAACGTGTACCTTAACCCCCTTAGTATTGAGCGATTCAAGTACGTGTACCTAGGATCATTTTGGAGGTCATAACGCTTGCTATCTATTTTTGATTCCCTTATTTATATAGAAAATGTACTAGGGGTGAGTATCCACACACCAAACCTTAATCACGCTGCTACGACATGCTATCAAATGCTAACAGCGGATTAGGGACTGCTCTACTTACATTGTCTTCCTGCTAATAGAATTAATTACTTGTCGATTCATCATTATTTGGGATTTGTTTTAAGGATAAGTTGAGACATCGCATTAATTCCAGTCTAATATAACACGATTCGCTGTCAGATAACAACAGGAACTGTTTTACTGAGATTGTTTCACTGGGAAACGCATGTTGTGAACAAGAAGTTCAATGTTAAAGGTGAATCTTAACCGGATGCCGGTTCTTGATTTGTTTTCTTGGAACAATAATTCAATATACGAGGGCGTTCAATAAGTAATGGTCAGTTTTTGCACGGAGACTCTTGTCGACAAATATGAAGACAAAATATTTTCCGAAAAATAACCAGTATGATTTATGTCATACGTACATTCGAATTTTATTTCATCTAATTAGCATAATTGAATTTACAATTCTCAAAATTTCACTTGTATTGCTCAGTCTAATTTTTCTGTTTGTCTATTGACCATTAAAAGGTAAGTACGGTAATGTAACAGAGATGATGGGTTTTGTCCAACACGTTAAGGGTAGACAAGGGACATGGAAATGTTCAAGAATGTCCAAAAATATCTTACACTCTCCATCCCTTCTACTTTCTATTATTGAGTGTAGACACAGCCAGAAGCTAGACAAGGCAATATCCTACATCATTTAAACAACATCTGTCCGGAAATCCCAAAATGTTCAAATATACAAAGTAGGTGGACCTTATCATGGAAATATAGTCTTCATATAGCCAAGAAGTTGCTACATCATACAAAATATATTTCGAAATTAAATGATAAAGGATCTCACACAGACATATCAAAACGTTTAGTTGCTTACTTTGTTCAAGGACAGACGTGTACCAGGTGCAACATGTTCCCACCAATGAGTAATCCTATACAGTTTTGTCGTCGTAATTGGCCAACAATAATCAGTTGAAGAGACAAGAATTTAGGAAAAATCCCAAATGGCCGCCTTAACATTTACCCATAATGCCCAAAAAGGAATCAGTTTGAAATATTTATATACTGAGAATCATCCCTGAAGATTTCAAATCGATCAGTCTAACAGTTCGCTTTGACAAGACATTACAGAAGAGGTTTTACGACGGAAAATCCAAAACGGCCACCTTAACATTTACCCAAAATCCCCAAAACCCAATCGGTTCGGGATCCCTGAAAATCTAAAATCGATCAGTTAAATGGTTCGCCTGGAAACGCGTACAGACATGACTTCACAGACAATATTTTACAAGAGAAGGTACAAAAATGGCCGACAATAAAAAAGCAGATATAACTTTGGCCGATTTTTTCCAGTTATTGCATACAAGTACTGTAAAACAGTGATATGGGCTTTTACAATACAGGAGTTATTTATAAAGTTACTATAGCTAATTGTTAAAATCAGTGTTAAAAGATTCTAATTATGAAAACCAAAACACCTTATTAATATGATCCAAAGTATCATCGCTCGCTGAATTTTCTTAATACATTCAAAATAAAAGTTATATTTGGAAATATGAAGGCAATTTATCTGTTGCGGTTTTGGAGGAAATTGTCGGACGCACAGATCGATCGGACGGACGGACAGACAGACGGACCGACAGACGCGCCAAGGTCGACAATATGTGGTGGGGACATAAAATGCGTCCATTGCATATATTGATCGTCCTTCGTAGCAACATTTAAAATACCAAAGCGATCAAAAACTTTTGTGTAACATGGCCCACCTGCGTAAACATGTTACATTGTATTTCAATCAGCAATGGAAACAATCGGATGGTTTGAGATCGTTGTAACTTTCATTATGTATTTTACTCGGATCTGCGTGAATATTATAGCTCACATATATTTCATCAACCAGTCAATCAAGTTGAACAACAATTTCCCTTGCTTAATTGGGTAGTCCGTACTGCGTAAACCTGATGAGACTTTACAGTTGAATATAGAGTTTACATAACACCCGGAGATTCTTCAAATTTTGATGGGCGTTTGTATTTATGATCCCAACTTTCAATAACTGTATTATACCTGTCCACGCTGATTGCGGCTAGATTAAGAATAGACGCGGTACTAAACAAGACATCGAGGGAAACCCAGGCGTCGCATAGCTCATTGCTGAAGGTCCAAACACCAACAACCTAGAAAATACAAAGAAAATACAAAGACTGAAAGATGTAAAAGAGAATAAACATGATAAATAGTACTGTTGAAATTGCAGACATAACATTGACATACTAACAAGAAATAGTATTTGTAGTTTAATAAATTAAAGCTGAGGGGTTAAGGAAGAACTTTTAAACGAAGTTCTGACATTCTGAATCAAAGTACCATTTCCCATGCATTTGTTAGAAAACAGATTTAGCTGCTTGAAAATTGCCTGTGGCTTTGTTTACAAATAGAGGGAAGATTCTCCGAAATGCCAATTCTGGATCACAATTCAACTTTACCGGCTTGGAAGAGAAATACGTTGCGATAGAGCAAAGTTGATTCCTATCTTCTAAATGATTTACTTTAAGAATAAAGAGAAATTTATAAATGATATCTATCTGGAATTACCAATTTAGACTCAGTAGTGAATATTTTAGTTTGGAGAACGCTGTGCGAACTAAATGATTTTTCCGCAAAATCATTACTATGAAATTGTTCATGTCTATTTCAAGCAGGGAATGCATGTGTTTTTATTAACCACGTGTAGAACATTTCACCTCATTTAGCACTACAGTAAAATGCATTGATAAAATCGACGGATGAGTTAAATATGAAAAACATTCCAGTGCTACTATAAGTAGACATACAATAGTATATTCTAGGTAACAGACAGCATCATAAAAGTTCTGTTAGGCATGTATGGTGATACTCATCTAGAAAGAAAGCAAAGAGCAGGGCATTCACCGATCTGCTTAATATGTGAAACAAGTTACTTGAATAGTCTATAATTTTTGGCCTACAAATTAGTAGGTCAAAAAGATAATTTTCGTCTTGCTTCAATTTAACCAATTTATTTTTTCCAGAATCATATATGATATGATATGATATGGTATGAGTCTTTATTTCCTCCAATTGGGAGAGCTATTTATACAAGGAATACATTTAAATTACATTATATGCATTACATAGAAAATAGTGAAGTAAAGTAATTTTCTTACGATGTGAATTCCTTAAGCATGTTGATCTGATTGTCACAAAGGCTTATGAATAGTCCAGAAACAGTGGCTGGGGCAAGGTCAATTATATATTATAGGCCATCCAATAACAGTTTGAAATAATCAAACGGAAAGCTAGAAACCATGTGTATATTTGATAACTAAATAACCATCGTTCATTAACTCTGAAATTTCCACTTAGCCCAACTGGTACAATGTAGATAACAATACACCTTTTACCCAATGCAGTCATTTCAATTAATATTTAAAGAAAACAACTAACGTAACGATTAAACATAAGTTATTGCAAGCGACATGTGGTGTTAATAGTCTTGAAATTGAACAGATGGATATATAAAAAACAGAGATCATATTTTATTACAAGTTTTTTCATTCATTATCTGTGGTTTAATGATTTATTATTGCAAATACGTATGTATCAATTAGTAAGTGAAAATGCATAAGTAATGAGAATGGACTGTAACATACACGCGTGTATATACGTAGGCTTTATTAACCTGCGAGATTGATATGTTTCAATGAAATCATTTCTGTGTTAAGAATTGTATAATTGAACAGTGATTCTTGTCTTACATCTTGTTATCTTCAGGTTGGCGCTATTTCATATGATAATCTACTTGGGGCGATGTAATGATTTCGAATAGTATTTTCAAGGTTGAGCATTTGATGGGGTGATGTAATGATTTCGAATAATCTATTCAAGGTTGAGTACACTTGGGATGGTATAATGATTTTGAATAATTTATTCAAGAATGAGTAACTGTGGTGGTGTATTGATATTGAATGATTTATTCAAGGTTGAGTACTTGATTGGGTGATGTAATGATTTTGAATGATTTATTCAAGGTTCGATACTTTGGATGGTGTAATGATTTTGAATAATATATTCAAGGTTGGGTATTTTGGGTGGTGTTATGATTTTGAATAATATATCCAAGGTTGAGTACTCAGGGCGATGTAATGATTACGAATAATCAAAGTTGAGTATTTGGGATGATGTAATTATTTCGAAGAATATATTTAAGGTTGAGTACTTGGGGTGATATAATGATTTCAAAATCATTACATCATACCAAGCACCTACCATTGAATATATTATTCAAAATCATCACATCACCCCATCAAATACTCAACCTTGAATAAATTATTCAAAATCATTAATTATTTTCAAAGAAGAGCACTTTTCGCAAAAATCTATTTAAATATGTGCATAGATTAATTGATTATTTTAATAACACAGTTTGATTCTAGGCGAAATATGCATTCAAGACATAGCTCATTCTGCTCTGTAGTACCTCCCCAGGTCAAGCTATATACAAATTCTAACACATCCAGTCATGGGTTTGATTTGCAGTCACGATCCCAGGAAAAACAAATTATTGCAGAAAGGGGATGGGCAACTTTAACTATTTTGCAAAAATAGTCGAATCTGCTTGCGGTTTGTATTATTTTATTAGGAATTAACTTGGGAACACATTTGGCGAAAATTAAAATTGTAACTTAAAGGAGAGGACACTACTAGGGATACCCTGCGTACAGAGTCTAGTTAAACTACGAAGCTCTCTTTTAAGAAGTGAAGTCAAACGAATGCAAAGGGTATACTAGGGACCACACAACTAGTTGATCTTGGAGCTGGGGTGGTGAAACAAATAGATGGGATTTCAAAAGCAAGAATATAAGCCAGCTTTTGTAATTACATCAGCATCACTCGTGGTTGGTTGGAAAAATTGTATGAATGGACCAACTCTTATACATGATTTAATATGAATAAGGTACATTTTCTTTGAAAAACCTTTGGGCCTCCCTCCATCTGTCAAATTATTTTGGCTGCCAGAGTACATAATTTGGTATGATGGTATGATCGCAGAACAAATCTTATTTTTTCTCTAAAAAATAGATCAGTTGTATCGTAAAGGCGTCCCCTCGGACTTGAAGTATTTGGAATGGTTTTGAAAAATATATAATCAAAGTTAGTATTTTAGGTGATGTAATGATTTTGATATTGCCTTGAATATCATATGATACGTATGAGCTATAATATGTTGGCAAACTAATCAAATAACAACTAAACATACACTTAGTTTCTTTTATGGATCTCAAGGACATATTCTTCAAACTCCTTAGTGTTGGTCGGTCAATTAGTTTTAGCAAGATCGATTTAGGACGACGTCGAAGTAAAGGTACGAACAAAAGGAGCAATCTGGCAATATGAACTCTACTTGTGTATACTGAAAGGCTTCCATGAATTAACGTCTCCTATGGAATTCCGAAGGTCTATGTACTCAAAAGTAATGCCTTGGTCACATTTGCTCCGATTTTCACTACGGCGCCCGGCCGATTGAGTATTTTGTTCAAAATTGAATACAATATTGAGCAAAACACTCAATCGGCCGGGCGCCGGCTGATGGATCGGTGCAAATATGACCCAGGCATTAGAGGTGAGAAAAACTACAAATTACAATCCGACCCCAGTATATAGTAGCCGAGACAACATAAGTCCCAAGTCTGTATTTTTACTCTCATTTCTTCACTTTTAAGAGTTAAGTCACCACATTTTGCATGCATATTCCTTGCAGAAATCCTAACATAGAATTTTATTAGTTTTGATTATAACTTATTTGTCGAAAATAGAGAAACATTTGATTCTGATTGGTCTATAATCAAAATTTGCCATTTTCAGCGACACATGCATTATTTTAACTTTATATAAAAAATCACTACTTTTGGTGTAATAATTCCAAATTGACCACATGTTTCCTTTTTCAGCAGAAGTGTAACTATTTTGGGGTAATTGAGACATATCCGAGAAAAATGGTATGCAGAAACATGATATATGAAATAAAACGGGGCCAAAAAGGACCCCTGAAGATGCCTGCATTATTTGAGATTTTTGGCGTGTTTTAATTTCCTGAAAAATGGATGGGGTAGGGGAGTGGTATACCCTTTGGGCTTATTCCAGTAACCATTTTAATCAAATGAATGATGACATATTTGGTATCATCTTAAAGCTTGTAATGTGTGCGTTAATTTGGTACCCGTATTATGACGTCAGATGCTATATTGTGACGTCAAAGAAGTAACAAACGATCTTAAAGGGGAAATTAAGCACCAAAATGCGGCAAAATAATGGTGTGACTCCACCACTGTTTTGCCAATTCACTGATTGCCACAATCAATGAATGCATTTCTCATTGGGGTACTCTTCCAATGCATGATCTGATGACTGGCAAAAAATATCTAGGATGATAGTTATTGTCAATAAGATTAGAGACACCATATTGTATCTATCATTTATAACTTCAATTTTTATTAATGACGTCAAAATGTTGCATTTGTTACACAAAATGGATAATTCTGATTATGGACCAATACAAATCAAATGTTTCTCTATTTTTAACAAATAATTATAATCGAAACCAATAAAATTCTATGTTAGGATTTCTTCAAGGAATATGCATGCAAAATATGATGACTTAACTCTTAAAAGTGAAGAAATGAGAGTAAAAATACAGACTTGGGACTTGTGTTGTCTCGGCTACTATATTATCATCCGATAGGTAACAATACCGAGCAGTACATACTGAGTGGGCCCAAAAATCTCCACATTTCCATCATGCTAAAACCTTTGATAAACGTTGAATTTTATCTATATTTTATTGGGAGTAGCAGGTGTCAATTGCAAACAAAGAAGCACTTTTCACTTTCAGGTAGATTTGCATGAAAAGGGCTGAGTCACACTATGAGTGCAATTGCAAATAACCAATTACAAGAAAACATTTGACGGTACACTGAATCTTACAGCGATATTAGTAATGCCAAAAATGAACATGGTACTATTAATTATATAAATGATACCATTATTCAAAGGGAAATCTATCCTTGCATTACAAGCGCTAGCTCCAAGGACAAACAATACCTCTGGGTGTCTGGAGATGAATGGATTTCTTTGTGTCACCATGTACTTCTTGTCTCAAGACAAATCAACAGCGAAGTATCAGTTAATTAAAAATATATCTCACACGATTTCTTTCATTGATTAAAAATACAATATTGATGATACACAATGACAGTCTTACGTAACCCAGAATAGCTTTCTCAATAAATTTTCAATATCTGGGGGAAGATTGATAACGACGGCGTACAATCAAATGAAACGAATATGAGAGACTAGTTTCAAGAACTTTCAGTTCTAACTCGGCGTTGTCATTCAATTTGCTAGAGCTGCCCAGGAATTATGCTTAAAAAGCTAATGAACGGCCATAATACAAAATTCCATTAGAGACCCGGAAAACACAAGAGAAAATATTCATACTCTTTTGAAACGATAATGTTATCTTAAAAAGAAATATGCCTTTCGTCGTAGTTTATTTGAAAAGTGATCTATTAGGCGTATTATCAATAGGAATGGAAAACAATTTCTTTTAACTGTTTGGAGTTATTTATCGCCAAGTTCTCTAGAAATGTTACTAATATTACTTTGTACATTCAATTAGTTATTTTATGTTGGTTGATCGCTTTCTAGCTATCAATCAACTACTCTCACACCGACTAATCTAAGCAGATACGCAGGGATCATCACGGGTAATGTTTTCCGCTGTTTGGGTAGCATATTTATACATGTTATGGATGTGTTTAGACAAGACGATTATATAACAGATGTTTATCGTTTTAATAAATTACATTTGACAAAAGAACGAGTCAGTAAATCAAAGCAATGATGTTTCATATCTTGCATATGATCAACTCCGAAGAGATAAAACACTTGTACAAATATGGAAAAAGGAAACGTTTGCTAAGAAAACAGGCTGTCCCAGGGGTTGCAGACACATTTGATACAATTCTAGTAGGTCTTATCTAATAAACGGCAACTGTTAATCAAATGCCGATCTTCAATTGATGGTCATGGCCAGTGAATCAGATATCTCATACGTGAATCATTTGGAGGTTTTGTATAGACATCTAATTCTTCACTGGCTTAAAAGTGTTGGTCAGTGATTTTTAAGATATTCTTTTCAATGGTTTGAAAATGTTGGTCAGTGAATCAGATGTCTCGATATTCAATGGATTGAAAGTATAAGCCATCGAATCATGGTTTGTTCTAAAGTACAGTAAAACTTGTCTTCGTGAACACCCCTCTCTAGTGAACACCCGTCTCCACCCATCCTTCCTCCACACATACTCTACTGGCTTCTCTGTATAAATCCCTCTCTCAATAGTGAACACCTACCAACACTGAACGTTTTTCTCGGCGAAAAATGCATTGACAATTGAATCAGATATTTTGTATAATGAATAAAACGTTTTGGTCGGTAGATTCATATGCCTTGGCTTTATTTTCATTGGTTTGGACGTGCTGGTCTTTGAGCCAGACGCTTCGTTCTTCATGCCAATGCTATCTTCATGATCCATGTGGTTACACATGAATTCAATGGTTTGCATTGAAAGTGCAAGTTACGTACAATTATTCTCCGATGGTCTGAAATTTTGGTCGTACTAAGAGAATCACATGTCTCGTTCTTCAATTGCAATTGAATCAAAGTATTCTCACTTTATCACACGAGAAGAAGAATCCCATAACCTTAAAATTCCAAGTGTTTTACCAAAAGGACGTCGCTTCAAAATTGAGTTACACACGTCAATATTATACGCTATTTTCGGGAAATCGGACCCTCGAAAGGCTGAGGCGTAAAAGTCGGCGAGAGTCGCGTGTCTCATTAGTGTCGCAGCTGGTTCATATAAAATCGGATATAATTTCTTTAGGGAATATTCTAATATATACATTACTCCTTTCTAAGATTAATGAATTAAGATATCGGGGATTTATGTATCATATCTGCCTACTTCACGCCTAAACGTCTCACACTATTTGACATTTACAGTATACTAAATTAATTGAGAATCTTCTTGGACATTCTAAACGGATTAAGGATTCTTATGAAAGTGTAATATGGAATAAGATAGATAAAAAACATTAAGATGCGAGTACCAGTTATTCCGATTATGATCATGAAAATAATTAACAATTATAGGTTCCTTATCATAGGGATTTTGTTCTTTCGAAGTAATCTGTCCAGAAGAGTTGACGAAAGCCCATTTATATACCCCCTAGCTAGGTTCACCATTGGAAAGGGAAATGCAGAATGTGAATTTTACGCTGTAACAAAGTTGATTAAAAATCAATTCCATGATTAGGTGCAATTTCATAATCCACACCGAGAATAGTGCTTTAAAGTGACATGCGATTTCACTTAATGGTACAATGCCTGGTTGTCACCATCTTTGCACGCTCGGCCTTCCCTGCGTTCAAACCCAGCAACGCGAGCCTTTTAAACGAAGATGGGATGGGCCACTATGGCTAGGTCACATTTGCTCTGATTTTCATAACCGTTGCCCGGCCGATGAGTATTTTGTTCAAAATTTCATTCAGAATGGCGGCGGTATTGACAATTGCAGCAAATGTGACCTAGGAATAACTGATTAAGTTCATATACCAAACACTTCTTCTATCTTTCTCTCGGTATATCACGGGAAATCCTTACACCTGAACGAATCTTTGCTGCCCTAATAAGTACTCGTATATACACTATATAACGTATTTATATCGACCTTACTCCTATGTACACATCATTTGATACTTATAAATCGTATTTCATAAGGGCTTCCGAAATATAGGCTTATTACATTGAATATGATACTCCGGCTTAGTTGGCAGCTTAACCGCCAATACTATCTATAATTTGATTGCGAATCTCTATGATCATTGAATAAAATCGGATTTTAACAAAATGTCAAATAGCCATTAGTACATTAAAACTCAAATGGTGTAAGGTCGAGTAAGTATGGTACATTTTATCAATAATGTGATTGGTAAACTAATTAGTAGCCAGAGCAGAAAAGGTTATCCACCTTTTTTCCTGATAATTGTTTCTATTTTCAATGATTTTTCTTGAGAGTTTCACTGGACAAACTTTAAAGCATTTATAACATATGAAATCTTTTGTTTAACTCATAATTAATTTTCATTATCATTACAGCTTTTTGAAAATGATGACCAACTCCTGTCAAGGGACCATTTTGTTGGAAATGGAGAACATTTCTAGCAGTAGTTATTGACTTTGAGTACCAGCTCATGTACTGTCTTATGTACATGGATTTTTACTCATTAATTTTTAATACTTATTCCGGTTTATCCAGGGAAAATTTCATGAAATATTATTAAGAGTTGAAAAGGTTTGTCACGAAAGAAGAGGTGGGTGACTTGTTCTGTCCTGGCTACTATGTATTAGTACATAGATTACAGGGTGTCAAATAAGTCCCGTCTCCCTCCTACAGCTAAAACCTTAATAGATGGTATCTAGTGTGATATACCATTGGAAAGATCATCCAAAGTTATGTTAACCCACCAACTCTCAAGTATTTTGGATGGAATTCACCTTTAGATATTTTCATGATGTCCTTTATAGTTAGTGCACCCTCAAAATGAGAAGGATATGACCTCAGAAATATGTCAAAAAGTTAATATTTTTCGCATTCCACATGTTACAAAAAGGTTTTCACCGCTTTCCTTGCACCTCTATTTTCTACACATCTAAACCTATCAAGAAATTGGTTTAATTCATTGCCATATACATATGAAGTCATCTTTAGGTCCTTTAAGTTTTCATATACCCGATTCTTAAAATACTGCAAAATACGCCAAATTGCCATATTTCTAGGCCTATGGTCACCTCAATTGATACAATGTAAACATTTGTGAGATTGATTGACAAGAGTCAGATATATGCCAATCAATTTAACTTTGAAAGACCTTTCCAATGATATATCACACTTGGTACCGTATATCTTGGTTTTGGCTGAAGAGGGGGGGGGACTTATTTGACACCCTGTATACTATTGGGAGTGTAGAGTCTACGTTATTCCCCAATGGTGTTTTATACCGGGAGAGCAGCGATTCTTCGCAACCAAAATTGTTAATATCACGAAGATGGCCGAAGATGCTTCAGGGAACCAATCAAATTACTTGAAAATCTTCGGCCATCTTCGGAACCAAGGAACCAATCAAATTCCTTGAAGGGTTACATCTTCGGACATCTTCGGTAGCGGTCCAAAATGGTTACCGATTTTTCAAAAGATCCTTACCTCTACATAAACTGCAAGGGGCATGACAAGGACAGCCACACAGATGTCAGCAACTGCAAGAGATACAATGAAGTAGTTTGTGACATTCCGGAGATTCTTATCGTAGTAAACACTCTGCACCACCAGAATGTTACCAAACACTGTCAGCATTGGAAAGATGCACAACAAAAGTGCCCAAGGCTTGACAATCTCGTTGGAAAAGTTTGTGTTGTTCTGGCTACTATTATGACAGCAGGCTGTGATATTGTCTGCTCCGAAGATTTCTCTCAGTATAGAGCCATTAATTGAGACATTGAATACGCTTTCAGGTTCATCAAACACTCGGATAGTTCCGAGATAATCCGGAGTAGTCAATCGATCATACTGCTGATCGCGTTCATTTTGTGATGTCGCTGTTATCATTGATGTTGGATTGGTTGTCTCCTCAGAGAGTACATTTATCAATGTCGCTCGCAGAATCGTTGCATTGTCGCCCATCGTTTTGGTAATGAAGCATTGGCATTTACACAATTATTTGCCTTTGTACAGCAGCAACAGTCTAATTTATCCTTTCTAAGTCTGATGGAGACTATATCGAGGGACAATGTTCATTGGTTTCCTGCTTGCAATGTTTTTCATGGTGATAAGATTGTTACTGGTTAAGAATGTTATCGTCTTAGAAGCTGAGAGCTAAGTATAGATTGTCATCCAGGCATGGCGGACTGAATCGTGTAGTAATCATGAATTCAACTCCAAAGCCTGATAAATAAACATTTACTAGTCTCACTCTGAATATTGAATAATAACTTTACAAAGTTTAACAATGAAACTCCCACATCGATATAAAGTCAATACGTTATTGTGTTGTGTGTCTATTACACGATACTCAGAACACTCAGGTGGTATCGTCACACACAGTGTAATTCTTACAATATCTTTCGTTGCCGCCACATGTTCCCCTCTATAAAGAAAGTCGTTCTCGTACTATCTGCTATCAATTACAAGTAATTAAATCCATGTTCTCGTGTTGTCCGTAAATGTCATAATATGTCTTTTTGCATAAGATATTACTTTTTTAGGATTAACGTCTTAATTAAATTTATTTCAATTGTACATCCTGTTTGAGTAGGAATTATCAGCGATCGTCCAATTTAGTTCGACTCTTCTGTCGTCACCTCTGGTCTCTGAAAGTAAATTAACTTGTTATTTAATTAAGTATTCAAATATATCATTTCATCAATACAGCAAAGCAATGAGTTTACAATCATGACCAATAATCTAAATAATGCGAGCAATTAGAGACTGTATATCAATATTTTGCCTGTCCGGTGGGAAGTCACCGCATGAAATGAAGCCGGAATTTATGAATACTTAATTGTTGTTTGTCTAGGAAACAGTTTCTGGAATAGTAATGTAATCTATTTGTGTTTTATGAATCAACATAGAATCAAATGAATTAACTTAAGTTGCTCACAAATAACAACAGTGCTTATTTGTTTTGTACTTCGTTACGTCAAGTTAAGAGAGTTATTATTCCATAAAACAACCGTTTAAACTTCATGTTTCAGAGAGAATCTGAAACATCTGGGCGTTCACAGCGAATGCGTAACTGTTCCTTTTGATTTACTCTTAAGAAAAGTCACGGATCACCGATTAACATGTAGGTCGACATGGCTATGCGCTTTTTGAGAATATCTAGGACCGTGTTACGTATTATTGAACTTACGTATTATTAAATTAATCAACCCTGTATTATACGCAATTTTAATTTAAATGGGTTGTTGGCGACATTAATAAGCGAAGGCAATTTGCAGCGAGCGTAGCGAGACATTTTAGGAAACACGGAATGTTTTGGTTTCATTTTTTCAATATGCAACCGCCTGAGCAACTACCACCGATATTCTCATCTGAAATGACCGTCATTCTGAGACGTATATTTACCTACTTTATTTAATCGTGTTTCGTTTCCAATGGCTGGATGTGATATGTTCTTCTTTAAACATCGTGCAACCCCAAACAATACCTGAGTCCTAATTTGTCTCACTTGAAAATGCATTTGCCACGATGTTTTCGTATAATTAAGATATAAGACAGTATTATACCCTTATCACAGTCGAGGATTAGATGCACATTTACTGGCTGTACGACTAGATCCAAGGATAGCCAAACGGTACGAAGTTAATTAGGATTTATAGACATGTTACTGTCAGATTCGTAGCAGTTTCTCTGTAGGAATAAGCTTTGAAATTAAACACATACCAGGAAACATAACATACACGCTGTTTTGATTAATTCACGTTTTTTCAAGATAAGCTTAATACGTTAGTGCATTTCTTGAAATGGAGAAATGCTGTGTAAACATTTCAACAATATCTGATTGTCACCGTATGTTTATTCTTTAGGCCTTCTCTACGTTGTTTATTAAAACATCTCTCTTCATAGGCCTAATTACATTCGAAACGAGGCCAATGTCAAAAACCCTGAATGGCAAGTTCTTTTATAATCCAATACAGTATCATTTGCACATGTAGATTCGTTTTTCATAAATAGCGGCGTGGAAGTAATTATGGCTATGGCCCATTATTAATACCTGATAATATATGTAAGTATAAGCTATCATAAAGGAGAGCATACAAAAACATATTGCCCAATATGTCGTTGGTTCCATTTTCTTCGCTTCATTGGTTTCTGTACTAGTGGCCATGGACTTTCACGCCAACACACAAATAAAAAGTAAAATGGTCAGCGTATACTTATATTTATCTACTACGTGTGATTATTCGATGTGAAAAAGTATTACTATATATCTTTCTATGCAGAAGTTTTATTTGTTTTCCCGTCAGTTTTAGCGATTGTATCGTTTACCTTTTATTTCACAACGTATTGTTTTTATGTTTCTCGTCTGTCTAATCGTTAGAAAACAATTACATTAACTTTGGAAATCGGCCATACCCTATGGTGTCGTCATATTCAAAGATATTGTATTTTAAAAATGTTATCCAAAATAACCAGACATAAAACGAATTTAAACAGAGTACGTTAAAAGCCCACTTGAAAAGTAAAATGAGTAATTTGCCCAATATACGCAAGTTTGACATGCTAACTTTTATGTTGACATCCTACGCAAACAACCGCAAGCAGGTCTAAAAGACCCTTTGTCGAACTTACATCCACAAGGAAATACATTGACTGCAGGAGCGTAGTACCAGGCTCGCCTAGACTACAGATAACGAATACGAGTCGCTCTATGATGTTTCAACAGGTGTAAGAAAACTGAAAACTGCTTGTTCTTGTTTGTTGTTCTTCACAAAGTGATGAGGCAATTATATGTAAAGAGGGGCTAAACGCTAACCGACATTTACTGCTGTTTTATACCTTACTTTTTCAACAGAATCATAAATACGTCGGGAGCAATTAGGAAAGCTATTCTAGTTTGCATGAACCCTTTACGTCGAGTTCAAACACGTGGAATCATCTAAGAGTAGGATCCGGACCCCCTGGGATTTAACATAGTGTATTCCTTCAACTACAAAGTCTCGATATGTCCTATTGCCGATTTATATTCCTAATAAAAAAACGAGTGATCTTGCAAAACAGCGGGAAGTTTTAAAACAAATCTTAAGGTTACTGTTAGGGAGGGAGATTTAATTGATTGTATATATTCAGAGCTATTTCGTGAAACTAGAATTTCTCCTCAGTTATCCCAGCCCGCTTTCCAATTAAGAAGATCTCCATCCTAATATTCTCTAGTAGGTTCTCATGGTACTTGTGATTCGTAGTCTTGCTTCAAGGCCCTCCCTTACTTCAACAATAAGAATACAAAATGCTTTGAAATCGCGCTATTCTCACACGTATGTTAGGCGATGGATAGGTGCTGGGAAATGAAACGTGCATTTGAATTCTCGTGACAGTTTGGAACCATAGCCTTCATAGGGAAGGAACAGAGTTGCCATTTAAGTGTTCCTCCACCGGCACAATATAATTGATAATTAACCGAGAATTTTCCAAGTAGACCCCGTTCTTTACAAAATGATTGACGTCACTTTTAAAATGAGATTTGTCATTGCCTATTTTGGGAAAAATAAATCATACTTCTCATCATTGAATTTGTTTGTTTGGTCATTCTAAAGTACATTAAAATGGCTTTATAAGACCTTTCTGTGCTATATATAGGGATAAAACTTACAACAATCAATAGAAATCTTGGTAAATCAAGGCTAATTGAACGTTTTTCTATAAGTTCCATTTTATGATATCCTTTACTCCTTCTCCATGAAGGCAAGTCTTTATTAGCTCGTAATTGTCCAGCATCTTTCTAAATTGACAAGGACTAATGCGTCAGAGACAGAATCTTGACAAAGGACACCATAACAAAACACAACCTTTCTTGGTAAAATAAGATTACACTAGTCAAACAGACAAATACTAACATTAGACTTGACAATAAACAGTTGTGATGAGCAGAGAGGTTTTAGTTGAAATTGCATAGGAAGCCTCGAAGAAAAATATTACATAGCCAGAAGATTATAAAATGTCGCCCGTGTTTAAAAGGCCGGGCAAAGCTCCAGAATCTGAATAAAACTCTGAATCAACTTGTCCTTAAATATCAGTGACTGTTTATGTGGATTTGTTATTTCAAACGCCAATAGAAAACGGGCCCTGACGAAATGAGGCCTATTCTTGAGAGGCCAAAATAAGACTTATCTTATACATTACGTTTGCATTTTAGGCCCCTTAAAAAGTATCATGATGGATCATCGTATAGGGCACCCCGACCCTAGATTCATGATTTATTAATATCGGTAATTTATTTTTGTTAGAGCATTAAAAGTGATTTATGAAACAAAAGATGGCTCGTCATAAAAGAACGTTTCATTGGGCGCTTTAATAGCTTCTCTTACATAATATTGTTAAATGGAATGAAACAATGGAAATAAAGTTGGTATAAAAAGAAGTTTTTTTCTGGCATTAGATAATCAAAAATCATATCCTGTAAAAACCATTCCCTCCAAATGTCAATTGATAAATACATTTTGCTACTCCATGGATAAGGCGATTTTTAGTTCAGCAATATTGCAACTCCATTATTTGACTATGTGTAATTCTAAAACAACTTTCCTGTTTTTATTTACAGTACCTTTATTGAGAATACTACTTTTAATGTTAGATATTCACATTGACTTCACTAACCATGCCTCCAATTTTCAATTTATACTTCAATTTCAATTGGTCAAATTGATGACAAAGATGAGAAAATTGTTATTTTTAAGTAAAGTATATGCAAGTAGAAAAAACTGGGGATATTGGAAATTATGTTCCATTGTTACGCTTGTATACACAAACCACGTTAATACCTCATTTTGTTTACGACAAAAAATTACGTACATACCTTATTTTGTCTGCTGTATTAATCAAGATGGACACCTAGTCTGTATAATTTTTGGTGGATCTTTAATTTGAATATACTGTTTCGAGACAGCGTTCCTTAATGAATGGGAGGAAGGATTTAATTTTTTGTAAGATACGCACAAATGCTTTTATCTTGTAACACCTGGTCTCAGCTCCCATTCTCATCCTTTCCCGTTATGTTTTATTCAAGAGTCTTGAACAGTGATAGAGTAATACCATGATGATCAATCATTGACAAAATGCATTTGTTTCGAGAGTATCTGTTCCTTTTGTTGTGTTTTTCATATCTCGCTTTTTTCACGGTTGCATTTTGTTATTTACAGTCTTGTATTCGTTGAACGTCCATGAGGCCCTAACCACCATGCCAACAGTTGAATGATAAAGAAGGAGAGGAAACGCCCACCGATTTACTTATTCTAATGGGAGAATACGCATTTTGGTAATTTTGTCGATTTAGAACCTCAGACGTCATTTCATAGTTTCAAATTTGCCCATCGAGACCAACTTCCAATTAATTTAATTTGATTTTTGGTGATTCTAAAAATATTTCCTTTAGAAATCAGATTTTAGAATGTTTGCATTGTCAAAATGTACGGCATAGACACGTTTATAATAGATGGCGCTTTGGACAGCAGCCAAGCTAGGATCAACGACAATAAACACGAGGTGATAACAATAATTGACACACAATATCAATTACCATACTTAAAAAGTCAATTTACAAAACTAACGACAAAAAAAGATATAATTATTTAGCATCTTTATTATAGAACAA